ATTATTGCTTATGTTGACTTAACTGTGGCCTTAATCCAGCTCTCCTGGCCCCTGGTTATTTCATTTGCATTTTGTTATTTTGCCCCTAGTTTTTGTGCTGTTTTTTCTTTAGGTTGAAAAATGCCTCTCTTTTGTTTTAAATCTTCTGAATGAGACAATAAACCTCTGCAGGGGTCAGGTCTGCAGTGGGTTGTTCAGTCACAGCTCAAGGATTTGTGTAGAGTCAGTGCTTCCTGAATGCTGCAGATCCCCTGAGGTCACTTCAGCCCTCAGGTCCACCTTGAGTGTTACCTCATTTCCGAGAAAGATGCTAGTGGTCCTCTTCAAAGAAAAAAGAAAAAAGTAAACCCAGTGAGTTATTCTTTGACCATCTCTTCTTTTCTTGATGTCATTTTCTTTTTCTTTTCTTTTTTTTAATTCAGTGAATGAGTCTGGTTCCCTAAACCAATCGTGTGAGCCAGTTACTCATTACAAGTTCCCTCACAGTGAGAAAATGAGTCTTTAGTGAACGTGCCTTGTTGTAACTAATGGAATGAGAGTATAGGATATATTGCTCTCTTTCTTTTAACAAAAAATTTTCACTTCTTTTGTGTATATGTACCACAATTTTTTGATCCATTCATTTACTGATGGGTACCTAGGTTGCTTCCAACTCTTGGCTATTGTAAATTGTGCTGCTATGAACATTGTGGTGCATAGGTTCTTTGATATTGATGTTTTAGGATTCTTAGGATATAATCCCAGCAGTGGAATTGCTGGGTCAAAAGGCAGGTTGATTTTTATTTTTCTGAGAAAATTCCATACTGTTTTCCATAATGGTTGTACCAGTCTGCAATCCCACCAACAGTGAACTAAGGACCCCTTTTCCCCACAACCTCTCCAACATTTGTTATTTGTTGCTTTGTTTATGATAGCCATCCTGACCGGTGTAAAGTGGTATCTCATTGTGGTTTTAATTTGCATCTCTCTGATAGCTAACGATATTGAGCATCTCTTCATGTGTCTCTGGATTCTATGCAGCAGAGAGAAAGAAGGAGCTCCTACCCTTTGCAACAACATGGATGGAACTGGAAAGCATTATGCTGAGTGAAATAGGCCAGGTGTTGAAAGACAAATGCTATACGATCTCACCTTTAACAGGAAGCTAAACAACAAAACAAACAAGCAAGCAGAATAAAAACAAAGACACTGAAATAGAGAACAAGGGGACAGTGACCAGAGGGGAGAGGGAAGGGAATTTAAGGGGAAAAAAGGGGAGGGATTTGGAGGAACAAATAGGAAGGGCACAGGGACAAGAACTAAGGGGGGTGGAAATGGGAGGGAGGTGGGGAGCATAAGGTGGGGGGAGGGCTGGGATGGGAGAAATAGACAAAAAACTGTACTTGAAAAATTACTCAATAAAATTAATTATAAAATTTTCACTTCTTTTTTAAAAAATATTTTATTTATTTATTTTTAAAGAGAGGGGAAAGGAGGTAGAAGGAGGGGGAGTGAAACATCGTGTGGCTGCCTCTAGCACATCCCCTACTGGGGACATGGCCCACAACCCAGGCATGTGGCCTGACTGGGAATTGAACTGGTAATACTTTACTTGCAGGCTCACACTCAATCCACTGAGCTGCACCAGCCAGGGCCTATAGGAGATATCTCTTGAGTAAAAGTTATAATCTCTGTTCCAGTCTAATATACTATCTTAAACTGGAAAATGCAATGGTATTAAAATACCTTTATTTCTTAAGATTAGAAATGTCAATGCTTTTGGAACTTTAAAGCTACAAATCAATTGCATTTATATATAGCTTTATAAAGGATGGATTTCCATAAATACTAGCAATGGTGAATCTTGTGAAATTTGTGCCTGGTGGGAGAGCACTGAAAGAAACTCTCCATGTCTATGTCTATGACTTATTGAGTTTCTATGAGGTGCAAAGCACTGTGCTGACCTTCGTGAAAGGCAGAAAGAAGGGGAAGATATGGTCCCTGCTGGCAGTGTGTTACTTTGCAATTACAAATGAGTGCTTTCTTTCAGTATATGGAGGCCTAGAATCAAACCCCATGACTTCAGGCCTCCATGCTTTTTTCCAGGTGCCCAAACTTTGGTGCAGAGAGTCATGCTTCTCTTCCTGTTTCCTCCACAATAACATTGGCCACAATAATATTTGTCAAGGTTCTGACTTGTTAAAGGGACATCTATGAAGGATGGAAGCCTAAGGGATGTTGAGAAATTATGGACTAGAGAGAGAACAGTAGTAAAAGGATGTAGGGATGGTTAGGACCAGGAAAGAAGTGAATGTGGCAGAATCAAGGTAGATTTTGTAGGGGTAGAAAGTAATTTATGTAGTCTTCATTATTTAAAAAAGCTTCCCAGGGCTGTGTTGGTGGATTCCCACCCCCCTCTGCAATCTTCTATCTCTAATCTATTTCATCAAGTCACTGGGCAGAGGCCTGTGAATGCCCTCAGACTCACTGTTACAAGCTATTAGATCGAGACTCCAATGGTAAGTGGATTCAATAGTCCAAAGTTATTTCAAATGTTCCCACAAAGACACAATTTCTTTAATTATGAAAGCCCAGCTTACTCAAGTCCTTTGAGAAAATTAACAGGGAAGGAGCTGCAGCTTGAAGCCAAAACACACTCCGAATGCATATTTCAGGCAAGTTTCCATTTGGATCCAATGGTAGGTCTCCCTTCTTGTGATTAATAGGCAAACAAACTGGGTTCCTGCACAGTTAAGGGTGCATGGTGTGTGTGTGTGTGTGTGTGTGTGTGTGTGTGTGCATGTAGGTGTGTGTGTAGAGGAAGACACCAAGGGAGAGTGAGAATTGGTGACATGAATAAAACTACTGATGAGCCCTAACACTGCATCTGATTAAATAGGGTATTGTGCATAGGAAGAATGTAAGGGCTTTTTAAATTTTAATTTCTAAAATTTTAACAAAGAATTAGAGTCTGGAAAACACACCATGGTTCTATTTCACTGGAACGTTTCCAGTTTGCTATTAAATGACATATAGATAAATATATAGAAAGCACAGTGTGGTTCCTGCCTGGCACCTTCAGTGAGGAGATTTGGGGGGTAGTGGTGAGTGAAGGACCAGAGGCAGTGATCTGGCCAAGGCTACTTCTTCCTCTTCCAGAGTTGCTTCATGAAAGGTAGGAAAAAGGTTGTACTTTCAGCCTGTTCAACCTTAAGTGTGGATTAGTATTTTCTCTTTTAAAAATGAACATTTCCTATTGGGCTTGCCAAAAAGTCCATGTTTTTTTCAGTAAATTAAGACATTTTTCATTTTTACCAATAACTTTATTGATTTGAATATTTTGAGTAAGTTGGCTATCTCTCACTATTGGCTTCTAGTGGGTAGAGGCCAGGGGTTCTGCTAACCATCTTTCAATGCATAAGACAGCCCCAAAACAGAGAATTATTTGCCAAAATGTCAATAGTACCAAGGAACGTCACAAACCACTTTTGACACATTTGATTAGCCACAGCACCTTCTCCATTCATTGCACAATCTTTTTATGTGTGTGTTTCAGTTGCATTTTTACCTTTCTTGAAATGATAAAGCACAATACATAGAAAACATTATGTATCTTCTTCCATCTTTGATATTAAAATGACTGCACACAAACTCACCAAATTTGATTTTTTAAAAATGCATGCTGATATGACAGCTGTCACAATACAATCTAACAAAATTGTTTTGAATGAAGTTAAAGACAACAAAGTACAGTATGAAAAAACTAAATGGACTTTTTGGCCAACCCGATGATCCAGGGATGTCTAGCCTGTGTGGCCCATGGGCTGCATGCATCCCAGGACGGCTATGAATGCAGTCTAACACAAAATCATATGTTTACTTAAAACATTATGGGATTTTTTGTGACTATGTGTCACAGGATATTTAATCTGTGGCCCAAGACAACTCTTCTTCCAGGGTGGTCCAGAGATGCTAAAAAGGTGGATATCCTTTGTTTACAGTCTATAAACAAAGGTAAGAGAGTACTTTAATAAGCCCTGATGTATCCATTACCTGGTTTCAACAGTTAGCAATATTTGCCAATCTTATTTCATTCATGAGTACTTCCCACCCCGCCCCCAATTTTTCTGGGTATTTTTAAAGGAAATTCATAGACATGTTTTGTAACTGTCAACATTTCAATATGCATTTAAACTGGTAATTTAAAAAAGTTACATATACCTGATGCCATTATCACATCCGATAAAATGACAATAAATAATGTTACCTAATACCTAGTCAATATTTAGTTTGGATGGTTGTCTCCAAAATGTCTTTTTACATGTTTTTTTCCAGTGAGAATTCAAACAAGTTCCAACTAAGGCATTTAGTTGATTCTCTTAAATTTCTTTTAATCTATTTATTTTCCATGTCATTGATTTGTTGGAGAAACTGGTATTTGTATCCCCAGTGGCTAAGATTGGTCTTTGGTGGAAGGAAGGCCACTAGATAGAGGACAAGGTGACCCCTGCTCAAGGCCCAGCTCTGATAGTAATTATCAGTCTAACCCTGGGATACTGAGTTGGCCTTCCTCAGTCTCAGTTTCCTTACCTAAAACATAAAGGCCTTCAATCAAGTTGCCTGTGAGACCCCTTTTTAAACAGAGGGAACAGGACAGAAATGTCTGCTGCCCTCTATCTACCAGACCCTCATGCTCTCAACCATTACTACAAGGTAGGCAATGTTTCTCTATCTGAGAAAAGCAATCAACAAGCCAAACCCAGTCGGATTTGGAAGAAGGTCCACTGCTGGTCAGGACCAGCAGTGTCTCCTGACTTGAAGACTGTCTGAAACTAAAGGGAGAAAGCCTGAAGGCCTGGAAAGGCATGATTAGTGACCTATGGGGTTATTTTTCTTATCTCAAACTTTCCTACTTCCTTGACTGCAACAGTTCAGTACTCGCATGGACGGGGTATGGAATGCCTGAGCTTCCTTTATTCTTCTATAATGCATTAAGGTTTAAACTAATTTTCATATTCCAGGACCATTGAATATGAGAATGGGAAGGGACCTGAGCAGTAATTTACTCCAACTCTGTGTACGATGAACAGATCACCGAAGCACTTAGCCTCTTTGTGGAGGGAGCTCGTGGCTTCCTGAGGCAGCCCCTTCTCACCCAGGTGAGCCACTCGAGAGGTTTTCCCTACTCCAGATTTTGCCTTCTGAAACTCCCACAGTTTGGGCCTTGCTCTGATTTTCTTATTTATTTTTTTTTAATTTATATATTTTTAATTGATTATGCTGTTACAGTTGTTCAATTCCCCCCTTCATTCCCCTCCACCCTACCCCCCATCCCCACCATTACCCCCCTTTAGTTTATGACCACGTGTCTCTAGTCCTTTAGATTCTATATTTCCCATGCTATTCTTGCCCCCCCCACCTATTTTCTTTCTACTGTCTATGCTACTTATTTTCTGTACCTTCTCCCCCCATCTCCTCCTCCCACTCCCCTGTTGCTAACCCTCCTTGAGATCTTCATTTCTATGTCTCCACTCCTGATCTAGCTGTCCTTTTAGTTTGCTTTCGTTTTAGGTGTGGTTGTTAATAACTGCGAGTTTGCTGTCCTTTCACTGTTCATGTTTCTTTAACTTCTTTTTCTTCGATAAGTCCCTTTAACATTTCATATAATAAGGGCTTGGTGATGATGAACTCCTTGAATTTGATCTTATCTGAGAAGCACCTTATCTGCCCTTCCATTCTAAATGAAAGTTTTGCTGGATAGAGCAATCTTGGTTGTAGGTCTTTGGATTTCATGACTTGGAATACCTCTTTCCAGCCCCTTCTTGCCTGTAAGGTCTCTTTTGAGAAATCTGTTGACAGTCTGATGGGAACTCCTTTGTAGGTGACTGTCCCCTTAGCTCTTGTTGCTTCTAGGATTCTCTCCTTCATTTTAATTTTGGCTAATGTAATTATGATGTGCCTTGGTGTGTTCCTTCTTGGGTCCAACTTCTTTGGTACTCTCTGAGCTTCCTGGATTTCCTGGAAGTCTATTTCCTTTGCCAGATTGGGGAAATTCTCCTTTATTATTTGTGCAAATAAGTTTTCCACTGGTGGCTGTGCCTTTCCCCTTTCTGGTACCCCTATAATTCGGATATTGGAGCGTTTAAAGATGTCCTGGAGGTTCCTAAGACTCTCTTCATTTCTTTGAATTCTTGCTTCTTGACTCTTTTCTGTTTGGCCATTATTTGCTTTCTTCTGGTCCACTCCATTGATCTGAGTCCCAGTTTCCTTTTCATCGCTATTGGTGTCCTGTGCAATTCCATTCATTTCAATTAGTTTCGCCTTCATATATTTGTCTAATTTGTGGCTATAATCAACCAGTTCTGTGAGGATCCTGATGACCAGTGTTTTAAACTGTGCGTCTGAGAGTTTTGCTATTTCTTCATCGCTTAGGTCTATGGCCTCAGGGACTGTGAGAATTTGTGACATTTTTGGTCTGTTCTGGCCCTTTAAGTGTGAGAAGTGGCGCCTTGGACTCCCGGGTCGCTGGGTTGTGACGCTGTATGTGGGGGCGTGGTCAGAGCGGGGAAATGGCGGCGCCCTCTACTGCCGCTTGCCGCGGGGACACGGCCCCGGTCCAACCGCCCACTCCCTCGCCTGTCCGCTCTCGCACAAATAGGCGACCCCAGTCAACACGCAGCACCGCTTCCCCGCTGTCTCCTCCGCGGTCGCTCGCCTGGTCACTCGCTCGGTCGCTCACTAGGTCCAACCCTGCGCCTGGATTCCGTGTGTCTGGATTCCGCGCGTCTGGATTCCGCGCCTGAGCCCGTCTGACGGAGTCCTCCTGTGCAATCCTGCTCCACCACCCACTGGTTTCGCCCCTTACCGGTCAGGCTGCAGAATTTGTTGTTAACGGACTTCCGAAAAGTTCAATTTTCCGTGTTCTGGCTGTGTTTTGTGTTGCTAATATTTAGTTGTCCCTAAACTTGGTTGTGTGAGAAGGCACGGCACGTCCACCTATACCTCCATCTTGGCGGAAGTCCCTGATTTTCTTATTTTTTATTGGAAGTGGTTTGTTTTTCCATCAACCTTATTTCTCTTTTCTGTTTAAGAGTCTGTGGACTCACTAAAGAGCACTCAAGTTGTTCCTACCTGTTTGGTGGCTGGAGTGGAGGGATTTGAGGATGAGTCATCAGTGACAGGCTGAGGGCTCCAGTCTTCAGTAGAGAATAGCTGACTAGCCACAGATGACACCTGAGCCTTCAGAACAGCCTATGACCTTAGGTTGAGTAGCAAGGGGCTGCAGCAGTCACTCACTCTAAAATTCCTCCTTGGTCATAGCCTTTTCAGCATGGTCTGCTCTTTCTTCTCAGTCTCTCTGGGATCTCTGTAGATGTAGATATCAGGCAGGACCTCCCAGTGGTGACCATGTGAGAAACTGCTGCATACATGCAAAACAAGCTGGGCCAGCATCTACCACCCAAGACCTGCCAAGCGAGCTCCCTTACTGTTGTTGCTTGGGTGGCAGTGTCCATATGGCACAGAGCAGACTCTGTGTTATGCAACAGTGGCAGACAGGATAACATCAGACATCTCTGTATGGGGCTGGTCACTGGCCCTGAGAGCAGTCTCCACAAAAGGCCGCAGCTTCCAGAAAGCTGCTTGGATCTGCTTCTTGAAGCTTGCAAGAGTCACGGCCTGCAATAGACATAGTTCCAGAGGTGGCAGCAGCTTCAGCAGACCTTGTTGGCTGGTATTCCTGGAAGATATGACACTAGCGTCAGAGGTAACAATGGCACGAGCTGCATGCAGAAGCTTCTTTAGATTTATGATGTAGATGCCATCACTTTTCATTTTATAGATGAACTGTTCTATTTGAAAATCACGGTTGGTGCTTCCTAAGTAGGTTTTTGGTGCAAGGAATTTTAGGACATTCTTCCTCAATGTGCAGGACATCAATGGCTCTGAACATTGTGAAAATCTCTTATTAAGTTAAAATGGGAACCTGAAACAGCACTGTAAGGATGCCTCTATGGGTAGTGCAGCAAGGTGTTGCTGTCTGTGTTATAAACAATTCCTAGCTTTCACATGACAACTGTAAAGCTGATTGAAGACTATTTATCTTTGTCTTCTTTGACTATTTACCTTCAACCACACATAGCAGTACTGTCAACTCCTCGTGGTTGCAGATGCTTTCCTGTGGCTCCCACAGTTGGACACAATATTCTAGGTGGGTGATCAGCATAGAGCAAGAACTCTCACTAACCTTATTCTATACCTTAGATCTAAGCATATAGCTTGATATTCCTTAGATGATCTTCCTGAAACTTTAATAAAGGTATTTATGGAATGGAGATTGTTTCAGAAAGCAGGAATCTGGGACAAAGGACTTTAGAATATTAATGCTAGAAGCCTTTAACTGGAGAAATTGTCACAGGAAAAACTCCCCACAAGAATGCTATAATTGTGAATTTGTATTTCCAAAGACTTTTAGGTTAGAATATTATCCTGAAGATGCTCTTTTAAATTGCTTAGTTATCCCAGACATTCCTTGTCTATACAGAGTTCTTTGGACTAATCTATAGATTTTCCTCTTAGAAATTTACCCAACTTTTCTAGCATAGAAAGCCTGGGTTATGCTATTGTGATGGTTTTTGGATTGGACAGCCCCACTGCATTAGGTGAAATTTTCCTGAAATATGTAGCCTTCTTCTGTAAAGGAGAAGAATGTGGGTGGAAGTTGGAGTATTGGAAGAGCTTAGAACTGGAGTGTAGGGTTGCCTTCTAGAAACCATGTAATGAATGAGGCTCAGATAAGATAATGGTAGTAATATCCACAGACAAGTGTGGAATTTCATGAAAATATAAGCAGCACAGTACTGTGAGCAGGCTCTTGTTCAGTGTGGCCGTGTGGGTGGTAAGAAGCATTGCAATCTGTTCCTGTTCTTATAATAACAGATTTCCTGCAGTGCTTCCTCTTTGCCCTACTCTAATCCTAATTAGACAAATTAGACAAGTCGTTTAAACATTTTTTTCTTGTTGCTATAGAGATTATTTTAATACTAATGACTAACTTTCTCTCTATGTTTCTTCCAACTCCTTCACAACTTTCATAGACAGTTCTGGAAGGGTGTATCTTAGGAGCTGGTAATATTTATCACCTTCCTATGGCCTTTGGTTGTGATGACTGGGACATCTATCTAGCCTTTGACCAAATTCCCTTGACTCAATGTCAGGCTTCCCTTAGCCAGGCTTCCCTTAGGCAGGGCCTCCCTGGCCTGCACCGCATGCCTTCACATCCTGACAGCAGTGGCATGGGGTTGGGAGGCATATAGGGTACAGACCCTTTCTCTTTTCTCTGAAGAAAGGGTAACCAAGGAAAGGTAAAGTGTCTTTGAAGGCATTGGCAAAAGCTGCTTCTCCTCTAAGTATGGGGCCAGGGGAAGGGAGCTGGACTTTTTGGGTGGTACCCAGAGGTCAGACCAACCCACCAAATCCTCCTTCCTGAGCAAATGTGATGGTTTCACTGGGACCAATGTAGGGAGAATAGTTTTGTGATGATGGTACACCCAGTAGCTTCTACTTCAGTCAGGCCAAACCTTCAACATAAATCATCCTTTGCCCCAGACATTTGCTTTTTACACAGATGAGGTCGTCAGATTCTTACCTAAAATTACGCAAAGGAAGTTTTAGAGGAGCTTTGTGAAACAAGTTCATTATCTCCCTGTTTCTTCCGCCTGCACTTCTGCAGTCCTCATTGTTCAGCAAGGAATTACTGAGCAAACCAGGCAACCTCTCTTTCACTCAACAAAGAAATTTAGCAATCTCTGAGGCTGTGTCACCTTGCCAGCAGAAACACTGAATGGCAATAGCACTGAGAGTCAACACTAATAGCCGACACCAAATTAAACTGCCAGACTTGGTGTGATGTAGTTCTGTCACCTCTTGACACTTCTGATGTGAGTACAGGGGCTTCTGCAGGAAATTCATCAGCTGTAGTTCATGACGCATCATCTTTACATATCTGTCCATCTACATTTGTCAGCAACAGGCCAGCTTCAAATGACTTCAGTGATTGGTATATAGATTGCACTACCTCCAGACATAGTAAA